ACCTTGCTTCCTATAATGGAAACATGAACCTTTTTTTTTCTTGAACTTTTTAGCCTTTGTTGAAAGTTCCTTTCTCTTTATGGATGTGGATGGTTTAACATCTTCCACTACATAAACCTTGAAAGAATTAGCTTCATTTATTTTGTCATTTTTCTTGCATTGTTTTTTAAAACAAAGATGACTTGCAAGCTCTTCAAGATTAATATCTACATTTTTGTGTTTTAATATTTTTTAAAGTTATTTTATGAGGATAAAAACTTATCAATTTTAGAGGACACAACAAATGTTTCATCCATCTTTATCTTGTATTGTTTGAACTTATTCAAGATAGTTTCAATTTCAAGAAATTGATTCATGACTAGTTTTGAGTCAATCATTTTACATATGTTTCATCTTGTAACTAGAAACTTTTTGGATATAGCTTCTTCTTTTGTGTATCTCACATCCTTATTTCATACTTTTTTGCCAAAGTGCATGTAATATAGGTATCAAATAAAGAACCAGACATACCATTTAATATGTAGCCATGCATGTGTAATCATCATTCTTTCAAATTCGCCTCTTGCGAGTTTTATTATGAGATTCATCTTTTATCTCTTCTGAGCTTGGAATGCTAAAAACATATGCAATCTTTAATGTGGTAAAAAAGGATATGTTTCTTTTATTGTCACTTTAGAAAGTTGCCTCCATCAGACCATTCCAAGATCTAGAAGTTGGTTGTCATCACTTTTATGGAATTGAACTTATCCATATTTCTTGAAAATAATCCTTTAGATTAATAGAAAAATAATGTAATACAAGACTATAAGAAACAACATGTGAATACTTGATTGTCTTTTGAATTTGTGAATTTCTTGTAGCCTTCTTGTTGAATAGTTAGAGTTAAACAATAATGGACATTTAAACATAAAAAAAATTACTTCAAGGCGTGCTATAATGCCACTTTCCCTAAGGATTATTTCACCCCAACTAGTTATAGTGTGTAAAAAAATGAACTGAAACCCTCCAAGATACAATCAAGCCCTGTTTGTTTAAACTTTGCACTAGTATAATAAACCACCAAACACACCTTCATGAGAATAGAACTACATTGTCTTTGTGAGGTTTTCTGTAGCAAACAATGCTAAAACAACTTGCCTATTATTGAGAAAGGAATGGGAGAAAGAAGAAAGTAATTCATAATTGAACTATATTATAAAATGAACTCACATCAATCTCTATAAATAAATATTGAGTTCTAAGGTTGTAACTCTTTAATTGTATTGTTTCAATAAAAAATCATTTCTTTTTTATTATAAACATGTCTCTTTGAAATATTACAGATATATTTATTCATTTGAATAACCAAAATTTTCATACAAAGAGAAACTATTTTTCATGTTTCTGAAATTTGTAACTTTTCATACAAAGCATTTGATTGCTCCAAAAAGATAGTTGATTGCCTTTTTGTATTTTCAATTTCTAAAATGCTTTCAAAAGTAGGGCAATTGACTCATTCATAGAGCAGTCAAGTCTTTGCTTTATACATAATGCATTCAACATATGAGTAATCAATTCTTCATATTCCTATAAACTCTATTCAATTCTAGAAAGATTCCATATTCGGCCTCTTATAAGGCAGTCGACTGCTTATAACATAAATCAATTCAGAAAACTATCAACCAATGGCAGTTGATTCCACAAGGATTTGGAATCGATTCCACTTTCTTTCTAGACATAAAAGTCAATTGCTCTAGGGTGGTAATAGACTACTATTTATACAAAAATTAAATTTAGTTTTTGTTTGACAAAGCAATCAACTCTATGCCTTCAGCAATCAACTACTACTTTTAGACGTTTAAGAAAGTCGATTGCTCTAAGCATGGCAGTCAACTGCTTTCTTATATAATCTTCGTACATGATTCTTATAAGTATAAAATCATAAAATTGACCTTGAGAATCATACCTTAAGTTATTTATTAACTTTATTAGATTTCTCTTTGATTGAGTTATTTTTAAGAATCATATTTTCATATTTTAAAAATATTTTCTAACATAATATAATAAAAAATTAAATAGATAGATAATAATTTTTAAAAACCAAAAACATATAAATTTTAAAAAAATTGACAATAAAATAATAAAACTAATTCAAAACATAAGAGACTATTCAATTAAAATAAGAAAATTATCATCACTGGCCTATAATTTACAAACAAAAGAAAAATATAAAACTTAAGTCAAATTTTATATAACACAAAAAATGTTACTCATAAGCAAAGTTCAATTTTATTATGAAGAAGGTTACTTTCATATTTAAGGTAATATAAGTTCATATTATCAGTAAATGATTTTTAATTTATTTAATTTTAATTTTTAATATAATTTAATTATATTTATTTAATTTTAAAAATTAACAAATTGAACCTGAATGATCTAATGTTAAACCCAAAATAACTCAAATCTACAAAACTCGAGAGTCAAATCTGAATAATTCAAAACCAAAATGATTCAAGATTGAAATAATTTTAAATTGAATTGACTTGAACTCGAAACAATTATAGAGTTAAATTAATCTAAACTTGAATTTACCTGGCTCGAAATAATTCAAACTTGAAATGTCATAAAATTTTTTGTTCAAATTTGATTTGATTTGAATTTAAAATGATCCAAATTTAAAATTATTACATTTTTTTCTTTGACTCAAAATAACTCCAACCAAGATAACCTAACCCGACAATTTTATTTACCAAGCATATATATTTATGATGTAAAAGATTGGATATTTTACTTTTTTTCTTGTTAATTTTTTATATAATTATATATATATATATGTAAATGGTGAAATTTGGAAATTTGGAATTTCATATTCTTTCTGGGTAATGCATACGGAAAAGATTGATGATTTTAGGATGTAAAAAAATTGGGATATTTAGGGGTTCACGCTTACTGTTTTTTGCAAGGTTTAATGCTTTCTTTTTTCAAAGTATTTGGTATAGGATGATTAGTTTAAAAATGATGATAATATGTATTCAATATTAGATCATTTTATTTGATAATAATTTAAATTTTTTATGTGATATTGATCTTAAATCATTATCATTGTTTTGAGAAATGATTTGATTTTCATCTAAAAAAAAAAATTTATCATTGTAAAAAAATAATTTTCAATATTTTTTAAACTAATTTACTCTAATGATAGTGCGAATAAGCGTATAAACAAGTCTTCACTTTGGAGAAATTAATTATTCTCTTTAATTCTATTGGGTATGATTCACACCTTTCAATATATGATTAAAAGTATTTATGCGTGCTTATAATTTAATACAATTCACTTCAAAATAGTTTTGAGTTTAATTTTATAGATAGTTTTTTATTGATATTAAAATATCCCTAGCCAAAAAATAAAATAAAATAAAATAAAATATAGCATATTTTACCTTGATTTTAATGTGTGAAAGTGTTTTAGTGCAAATTTTATTTTAAAATTAATATCGTAAATAATTTTTAAATTATAATGAAGTTATTAATATGATACTTGAATATTAAAAATTTTTAATATAATAATTGAACTATAAATTTATTTATTAGTATAATATTTTTAGGGTTATTTGTTTATTACTTGTCATTATGTGAAATTGATCCTATTAAGGTGAGTATCACTTTAATTAAAAAATTTATAATTTAAATATTATATTAAAAAATTTTAATTCAAGTATTATAATAAATATTTTATTATAATTTATAAATTATTTATGACATTAATTTTTTATTTTATAAAGGAAAAAAAAGGGAGGAAGAGGGTGAACATGTGGCACCTGACCTATCTCTATTAATACCGAACAAGAGACAACCATTCCAAACTTCCAATCCACAAATACACCATCCGATTCCTGCACAAAAATTTCAATAGGGAGAAGATGCAGCGGCACATAATATGGCGAGATACAGTTGCAGTCAAAATTAGCTGCAGTGACAAAAAATTTAGCCGACTTTTTCACAATAAAATTCCACATAGCTTTATAATGTCTTTATCTCGAACACTGATGGCACTTTAGAGTAACAGGAACCACATAGGAAATGGCAGTGCTGTCATGAAACTGCACCGAAACATTTTCCTTTTTGATTTGTGTTTGACAACCAGGAAAAAAGAAAGTATCATGCTTTTGGCTTCCTTGTATAGGCTCAAAATGCCGGCTCTTTTGCCGAACACATATTTTCCCACGTTTTTCTCTACGCTGGCAATGATAAATACTTTGTTCAGTCAAGCACGTTTCATGGTTAGCAGCAATTCAGCATATTCGAAGCACCTAGTGAGAGGGAGAAAAAAAAAAAACGAAACTGGGGACTGAATCGAACGCATTTCCCGTAACAACCCCAAATTTCATTTTCAACAACTAAACTATTCTTTTTTTTTTTTCTTTATTCTCTAGTTTTTATTTTCTTTAAAAAAGGGGAAAAAATTGGTCATTCATAGTGATCCAAGAAAAAGTCCAGTAAATTCTTATGGTTAAATTTTTTTTATATATTTAATTTGATCACTTAAATTAAAAATTTAATCCGCCTACATCAGATCAGGGCTATTGATAAACCATCAAATTGCATGCGTTTGCATATAGGATCTGTCAACCGTCATCTCTTTATAGCATTCCAATTTGTTTCTCTTTTATGATGGCTAAAGGGGATGGATTAAGTGGTCAGCTGGCAAGAAGGATCAATCCATTAGGGTCTTTTCTTTGACCAAGAATTCAAGCTTGCTGCAATCGATTATTTTCTGTTCCTATATATGGGAAAACTTCCTCTGTTAAATTGGAGACTAGGACATACCAACGGATACTCCGCATGCAAGCTACTTCTTTTGGAAAAAGTTGTTCATTAAATACAGTAAATTAGGTGAAATTTTGAAATTAGTTGCATATAAATCTTGGCCTCGGCTGTGACTCGTGTAAATTCACTTCCGGTTCAAGACTCAAATGTTCTTCTTTAGGCAAATACTATACTTGGTTGTGAGTCTTTAGTCAGATAGAGGCATGTCATCCTTTAGAAAAAGTGGGGCAAGTTCTAGTGAAGATGATGCTGAGCAGCTCAGAAGAGGACCCTGGACTCTGGAGGAGGATACACTCCTCATTAATTACATTGCTAGCCATGGCGAAGGCCGGTGGAATTTGCTTGCAAAACGTGCAGGTAACTTAACCAGTAGTCACCAATCACCCATCTGATAAAATATATTATGTTGAACTACATGTTAATAGGACTTTTTTTTCCCCTTTTGTGGCTTAGGTTTAAGGAGAACTGGGAAGAGTTGCAGGCTGAGATGGCTAAATTATCTGAAACCGGACGTTAAGCGTGGAAACCTTACTCCACAAGAACAGTTTTTGATCCTTGAACTCCATTCTAAGTGGGGTAACAGGTAATCATCTCTTCTTTTTTTTTTTTTTTTGGTTTTTACAGCTTTTATTTTGCTTTTTGGGAGAACAACCTATCAACTTGACATAACAATAGCAACATATGCATTAATAAATCGTTGAACACTTTCAATCTACAATACTTCAATTATTGTTTTCGAAGAACTATGCAATGACATTACATGATTCTTATCTCTCTCAGCCTGAATCCCATGCTCCGCCAAAGTCGTCTTTGAGCTGTTCGGAAGTTCTCTCGCAAGTTTCTTACCACATAACACTTGACAATTACTTAGCAGAATCTGCGAAGCTGTAGTTTACCCATAGTTACGGTTTATATTCAGACAGAGTTGTTATTTGATCGGACGTGACATAGTTTTATTTTGTGATTTCTAGGTGGTCCAGGATTGCACAACATTTACCAGGGAGAACGGACAATGAGATCAAGAATTACTGGAGAACCCGTGTGGAGAAACAGGCACGTCATCTTAAGATTGATTCTAACAGCGCAGCATTTCAAAATCTTATTCGATGTAATTGGATGCCTAGATTGCTTCAAAAGATGGAAGAGTCATCCTCTGTTTCATCCATGACCTCTGAAAACTTAACAGTTCCTCCACTTCTAGACCAAATTTCTCAGCATGAAGCATTAACGACAGTGCAACAAGCACCAAGGCACGGGCCTCGTAATCTAAATGAAGCAGTGCAAAGTTTGCATCAGCTGGAGCAGAATTCAGACTCAGAGCACTCTGCAGCAAGTTCATGTGTTTCTTCTTCAGAATCCATGAAAAATATCTCAAAAATATCTCAATTTGCAGAATACCAAACAAATCCTTATCGCATCATTGGTAACAACGACTACAACACACTTTCGAAGGATTGCTATTATTTCGATAATAATAGTAGTTGCTATAACATGGAAGCCATCAACCTGGCATCCACATCAGCACTTGGGGATTTTGCGAGCCCTGTCGGCGATTGCCACATGGCAGAGAACAATTGGGTTGATGATGGTTTTGCAGATGGCCTATGGAGCATGGGGGAACTATGGGAACTCAAGAGCTTTCATTGAAGGGAATCCTGTCATGTTTTTTCCGACAGTTCACCAAAAGTTCATTCATTAGCTTTTAACAGTTGATTTTCCGAGTTCAATTGTCCTATAACATCTCATAAGATTTTTTTTTCTTTAAGTTTTTGTCCAAAATTAGTTACTGGATTCCAAGTTTCTTAAGTTGTGAGTGTAAACTAATGAATTTTTATGTCTAAATATATTAGAAGATGAAAAGTTCTTTCTTTTCTTTTCTTTTCTGTTTTCTGGCACCTGGGCTGGATTACTGATCAAAGAGCTTTCTCTTCCCTTTTCTAATTATTGATTTCACCTAAATATCAATACTTGCATTTAAGATTTTAAAATATTTTTGAGAAAAAAACAACATATAACTAACATTTTTTTTTTTTACAATCATAGTCAAATATTATATTTATATAATGAAATAAAAATTAATTATTACATCATAATCAAATTATAATAACTAAATAATTAATTAAAATTAAAAAATAACTAAATAATCAAACTCATAATTTGAATATAAGATCTCATGATTCGATGACCTCTTCTTTATCAGTAAATTAATATCTCATTGATTTGTTAGTCTTAATTTTTACATGCTTGAGTTTGTCTAAACCCTAAACCAAAAATTTTTTGAAGCAAAAATAGGTTTACATCAAAACTAAAGTGCCGCCACCAATGCCTTAATTATTGGTATAATGATTAAGTTAAGAAATTTTTTATTGGTATAATAATTAAGTTAAGAAATTTTGGGAGGAATATTCAACTTCACTGTTGATTTTTTTTATTAAAAGGGTTATATAAAAAAATTTATAAATGTTGAGATTTAAAATTTAATTTATCACATTTTATGTTGGATATTTAATATTATTTTTTGATTTAATTTGGCTCAATCAATTAAATGAATTTTTTTTTTGTGAAATTGCATAAATTAATAAAAAGAATATTTTAAATTACATTTTCTTTCGACCATAAAATAAGAAGCATTATGATTCAGAAAAAAATTAAGGTAAAAAAAAAAAAAAAAAGAAAAACATCCAAGGTAGAAAATTACAAAATTTTATTAATTTTCTTCTCTCTCTGTCTTTCTTTCTTTATTTTTCTATTATACTTCTTCCCTTTTTTTTTTTTTATTATCTTTTTCTCTCTAGCACTAGATTTGACCTTATCGGATTGTTTTTAGCGTCAGTCGATCATTTCGGACTAATTGGATGGTGGCACTAGAGTCAATATCTAAACTAGGAAAAGAAGGAAAAAAAAAAGGGGGGGGGGGGAGGGGGAAATTAATATATATATATATATATATAATTTCAAATCAATGTTTTTTTTTTATTTTTTCTTTCTAACTTTAGATTTTCAAGTTAACTTTTTTTCTTCCGAGCAAAAGAAAATATTCTATGAAATATTATTTTTATCATTAATTTATATCAACCGAATTGAATTAAAATAAAAGTTCAATAAGTTAATTAAACAAAATCAAAGTAGAGTGGTAAATTGAATATTGATAAAAATTCATTAAAAAAGTTCAAGTGCATGAAATAGTAATTATATAAAGGGTTTTTGTTAACAAATGTCCTAAGAATACTTTTTAAAAGTAGTTTATATATTATTTACAACAATATTTGCGTATTAAATATCATATTTGACAATTAATTTAATGATTTTCAAAATCTTGAGTGAAGATATTACTTAATAGGGAATTATTTATAAAATAATATTTAAAGAAAGAAATGTGGAAGTAATGGATTATTTGTTTTTGAATTTAATGAAAATAATAAATTAAATATAATTTTTTTAAAGTAATAATTTAACCATTCTTAACTATTGCTTACAAGCATATCCACTAATCAAAACCTATTTAATATAAGTGAAATTACTTTAAAAAGTGCTTTAGGAGACTAAAATCAACCGCTACTCATAGGGAATTTAATTTGTCGATTTAATATATCCATTAAAATGAGGGAGTGGGATGGTGAGAAAATGAATCATTGGGTCATTGAAAACTTGCACACTTGCACAAACTAAGAGAATAAAAATATTGTGAGAGGTCAATTCATTTAAATTTCAAGGAAAGAGAGTAGCTGAATTTTTTTTTCATTTTAATTAATGCATGTTTGATTTTGAGAGCCAGTTGGATTCCTATTGGAGCTCTGATTTTTTTTTATTTGACAATTTAAAATTTAAATGCCATAGATTCCAAACAATGAACTAGTTGAGCCAATTCTAGGAAGCAAAAATTTCCTGCAAATGTGCCTCTTGGCTGACCCACCAATGTTTGAAAGTTGAAACCATCAAAGTTAAAGATGATTAGTATGTGTTTGATAAAAGGGGAAATTGAAAACTTTGTCATCAATCTCCAACTGACGATGAGAAAGGCAGCTTCTGTTTGTTGAAAATTAATGTAATTTTTATAATTAATTAAAGCCACTTGGTTCAGCAACAACCCATTTTCCAATTGAGCGTAATTTTTTTTTGAAATGATTATGTTATTAAAATTTTTATTAGAAATAGCATCCATCTATGTTAATTGATTGGATACATACATTTTATCTTGATTTAAAAAATTAAATAATTTATCTATTTTTATAAAAAAATTTATTAGGAATATCATTTTTATATTAAGGTATGATTTAATAATTTAATAATTTATAAATATTATTTATTATTATAATTTATATTTATCCGTCAAACATAACATATTTTTTATTTTTATTAAATTTATATATAATTTTAATTAAAATTTTAATTAATGTTATTTTCATACTTTTTGTATCTTATTATTATATAATATTTAAAATTAATAAATCTACATCAAAATAATTATTTGTTCATCAATTAAATTTAAATGAAAATTATAAAATTTTGGTGTGATAATTACTCGGAAAGGGAAAAGGAAAAGAAATCACAGCTATATATTTGCGCGTAGCAAGTAAGCTAGCTGGGTTAATGAATGTAGACGATATATATGATTATTATTCCACCTTATCTACAAGCCTTGTTTTCTGCCATATTTATATGGACAAAGTCAAACAAACCCATTTAAGAAGAAGTTGCAGTCTTATTCTCACACATGCTCCAATTCTCTGACAATCAACCAAGAATTTTGTCGGTTGCCGGCAAAAGAAAAAGAGATATAGCATAACAAATTCGAATTTGGTGCCACCCATGACGAATTGACAAATTCTTGTTCTGATAAATGAATTCATGCCATGATTCCAGATCTGTCATAGAACATTTGCCAAAAATTGGAAAAAAAATAGCCCTAAATTAAGATTTTGAATATTAATATTGACTTCTCAAAAAGACTGAAATTAGTTGTTGAATTGCCGTTAGGGCACTCTTTATCACAAAATGGAATTCCAGACCAAGTTAAAGCAAAATATCCTTCCAATGTAATTGTCTATTCCACTTACTAGCTTTTCTCTTCCAGCATATATTTTTTAGTTTCACAGCCTATTAGGAAAACATTGGTTAAGAAATTTTTTTTTCACTGGCATTGATTTTTTTAATGTTTTTCTAATACCGTAAGGGGTATTTTTAAATTTTACTTGGATTTAATTCCTTAGGTAAATGATTTTAAAATTATATATTTTTTTATATAGACATGATAGGTTCAAAATTTTATTTTTGAAGCACTCCATACAAAAATTGAATCCTAATTAACAAAAAAATAACTCATTTCTTCACCAACTTGAATAACCCTTTTAGTTGACTCCTTAGAAAATAACTTAAACATAAGTTACAACCTTAATCTAATTAATGAACAAAATACTTAATTTGTCTTGTGACTGATGATCCTAGTTCATATTTTTTCTTGGACTCATCTTACCGACTAGAGCTATTAATTAATTATATCTTTTACTTGCCATGGCATAAAAAACAAAAAAAAAAAAAGAGAAATAGAGATTGAATAACTCACTCTTGATTAGTTTGGTTATTAATTTGATTAATTATTTTTGTTTTCAAAATAAAAAATAAAAAGTAACATTTGGATATAAAAGAAATTCGAGATTTATTGAACAGAAAAATGTGCTTTGATATGCAATAATACTTTTTGAATGTTATCTATTATACTAATTATTAACACATTTTCTATCAAACACTATATGGTTTTGCTATGATTTTGATGGTAATTGCCTCTTAATGTTATATAGTCAAGAAATCTATAACTAAAATAAACTTGATAGAATGAAAAAAAATAACAACTCGGATTTGTGGTGGGAATGGGAGTTAGATGTAGCTGTAGCACGCCGAGCCAAAACCCAAAAGGCCAAGGATGAAACTTTGTTCATATATTCTTGTTCCAATTGAAGAAAGATGCATGTTCGATACGCAATGTTTAAAATGGTCGGAGATTAAAGCTGATTTTGGACATGTGACACACTCAAGCCGGATGTGGACTTGTCCAGCTTTGGAATATTGAACCTTTTGCCTCTTGCTAATTTAACAATTTGTTAGGACTATAAGTGCTGCAGATCGATCAGAAATCCATTGGCAGTTCCATATTATATAATAATAATGGATATTTGAATGAACTCGAATTATGAAGTTTTTGAGTTCAAAATCTTGAGATAGGAGAGATGAAAAAAATATTTTTTTATTATTTGAATTTGAATTCATTAAAAAATTACAAAAAAAAAAATTTGTTATAAATTATTAGGTCCATAATAAATAAATCTACTTAAATCAATTTTAAAAAAGATATAATATTAGACAAAAACTCCTTACCACCAATAAAAAAATTTTATAGAATGATAGAAAAGAACTATATAACTTCGAATTATGTTTCAACATAAAAAAAAAGTAATAGAATAATTATGGTAATTGGCAACTGAACTTTTCAAGGTAAAAATTGTGATTAGTTCAGTCCATGAAGATGTGAAGTCTTTGACAAAGAAATGAAAACCTGTCCATCCTACCTATAATCAGCGGCGTAGCCGGGGGGTTGGTAGGCCACGGTTCTCTCCAAAAAATTTTAACATCATTATAGCAGAATATTGTATTCTATCAAAAATAATATTTAATCTCTGTTTTTTTTTAGTAAAATTACTTCTTAACTCTTATTTTCTTGTATTTTTCTGATTTCATCGGATTATTTCCAGCAAATTAATGATAGAACTTATCATTATCGGGAAATTGAAATGAGAAAATATTGAAACCATTATATTTACCAAACCTCTTGTATTTATGAGTAATAATTGAGCTTATCAATTAATTCTTTTTTTTGCAGATACTTCTTAACAATAAAAAATCAATCATGATTGATAATTTGGATTGAGATGTAAATTTGTAACTTTCAGATTTAATACCAATAGATTCTAGGTCACCATCACAAAAAAAATTTATGCTCAAGTTACTATTATTTTTTTTTTTTTGAAAAGAAAACTATATCAACTTCCAATAATATTCTTTCCAAAGCTTACAAATATGAGAGAAGTGCCAAAGTGAATTTTTTCACAAAAGATAAATATCCATAGAAATTAATTGTTATTTATTACATATTTACATTCAGATCATTAATAAATGGTCTCATAACAATGAAAGTCAGATAAAATAACATTTTTCTAAAATTTATAATTAATAATTTTAAATATAATACGAAATTAATATAAAAAATATAAAAATTATATAGTTTAAAATTTTAACAAAAATTAAATAATATATTTTGTATTTAATTAATAAATATAAATTATAATATAATAATTTTCATATTTGATATTTATTTGACACTAAATAGTTGTGATACCAATTGTCAAATAACTAAAACCTAGTGACGGAGAAATAATCTATCCGGTGGGCACGTGCAGTTTATCTAAGATTAATTTGGAAGTCGAGGAACGTTCTTGTCGCATAGATTGTGGAACGCCATCAAGATTTTTCAGTCATTTTTTGTTTTGTATTGTCATAGTCAAGAAGATGCGTAGGGAGATCGAATTCTCCTCCTTTCGGCGTCGTTGTTTATTGCTCCATGCCTGATCATGATGGCTAATCTTAATCTCATGGCGGGCCATAGGGCTATCAAAAACCATAATTTCAAAGGGGTCGTTTTACAACTCATTATAGAAAACTGACCACTTCCAGTTCAACTCCGGTAATTCCATTTCGTTACCTTGTTTGAATCCAAGTTTGAATATATATCCACATAACCCAAAGCAACCGGTAAATGTTGATGTTTTGACGTGGCCAACAGATGACCACATAGGTCATAGCGTATAGTTTGTGCATCACTTTTAGCCGTGTGGACTTTCGCAAACAGGGCTCGTATCAACTACTATACAATTCTCCGATTATCCGATTCCAGCCATGCATGAATTTTGTGAGAATTCATCAAAGTATCATATGGAACTCGTATCAATCTCACACTCATATGTCTTTGATCAGATTGCATAATTCGATGCTATTAGCAATTATATATTTTATACAATTAATTGTAAGTGAAGTGTGATGAAATCGTGTCTTAGTATATAATAATGGGTAGGTTATGAAACTTTTAAATCTCATGTTCAAATTTTGTTTATGAGTCGCACTAGTCTATAGGCTGGGTTTATCTAGTGTTGGCCCCTGGACATAAATTGTGAAATCATAATCCGGCTCGATTGGATTTGTATCATTGTTTAATGAAACAAATATTTTTTATTAATTTAATTTTAAAATATAAAATATTAATATAAAAATGATTTTGTAATATTTTAATATTTTTAAATAATAACTAAACTTATTAAGTCTGATGAACAAGCATTGGATAAAAAGATTTGAATAATAATAAAATCTGATGCATTTTTGATCCGTTTCATACAAAAATTTAAATTTCATTATATATATGCATATGAATTTGATCAAATTTTAAGTTGGTTTTCATTAAAAAAAATTGTAGGTATAGTGAATCTTAAACAAGTCAAACGATAAGTATTGACTAGATTGATTAAGATTGAAGTGAGATAAATACTCCATTACTAATCCCTATAAACGAGGCAAACTTTTAGAATATGATGAATTGAAACAAAGCCGAATAGAAATTAGGAACATGATAATGTCGCTACATTTTTTTCCTGTGCGGGTGACCTAAGTATGAACTATAGCAGTTACTATCAGATAAAGAGGACGACCACACAAAAAAAAAAAAAAAAAAAAAGAATTTACTCTTGAAACAGTAATCTGTTAGCTACTATCGTCAAGAGAGACGCAATCGATCATCAAACCAGTCGCAAATTTTGAACCAGTAATGCTAATGTTTGATTTGAAGTCCACCATTGCTTGGGCCTTGCTCGGGTAATTGGTTACATTGTTAAAAGTCAGGTTAAAGGTCTAATTTCCAACCCAAACCCATTTCTTATTATAACAGCTCGTAGAAATCAGATAAATCCAAAACCCGGCCCAGTTCTATACTTCAAACACAATGATCTCCAAACTCAATCATTGCCGTTCACGTGTACTTGAGAAATCCTGGCCTTCAATATCATACTATAAAATGTCTGCTGAAACCTTAGGTTTTTACTCATCCGCCAAATCCTCTAACTCGTTCTTGCCTCTCGTCTCTTCAATCTTTTGCTTCTCTTTAAGGTACAGCTTTTTATTTTCCTATTACTTGCTTGGTTACCTAGAAAATGCATGACAAGAAAAACAGAATGAATCTATTTTTTTTTTTTTAGTTTTCTCATAAAACCAATCGGAATGATAGGGGTTTTTCACATTCTATTACTGTTTTCATTGAGAGATATTACTAATTTTTTGTGGTCTGTTTATCTGCTAAGAAAAATGTAGGAAAGGGAAAAAGAAATCCAGTTATGATTTTAGGGTTCTTTATCTTTTAATGATTCATATATATATATATATGTGTGTGTGTGTGTGTGATTTTGTTACTCTCTGAGCTAGTAAAAGATGTATGTGTGTGGCTTGTTTTGTTTGAATTTTGAATTTCTGGTTTTCTACTTTTATAATTTTTTGTTTTCACTTGTTGTGCGATAAAATGTGTGAAAATCCCTGAATTTCGTAGTGTATGTATGCAAATTTTTGTCTTGTAAATTATAATTTTTAAGATTTAAAAATCACTTAGATCAATAACACTTGTGTCACTTTACGGTTAGTGTTGATGTATGACAAATACTTTTTATTTCTCAGTTCAGGAATTTCCTTTCATATGATACAACAGGGAATTTGACCATATTGAAAACTTTATAAATTATTAAACTTGTTATTGAATCTTGATATTGGTATAATGGTTCATAATTTGAGTGGTAGAACCAAAAGTTGGACCTTAGCTTCTTAAATATTTAGTGAAATTAGGAAGGCCTTTAAAAAAAATTTATATGATAGTAAATACTTGTTTGAAATTTCCTTTTCAATTTTTTGTTGATCACACAATTCAGATCTTGAAGATGTATACATCAAGGAAGAAGATCCACAAAGATAAGGATGCTGAACCAACAGAATTCGAGGAGTCAGTTGCCCAGGTTTTAAAATGCTCTTATGTTTGTTGAACTTGAAGAGTTTCTGAAAATGTGTAATCCTTGGTATGATTTGATTGCTTGTGCTTGTGTGTAACAGGCATTCTTTGATTTGGAGAATACCAACCAGGATCTGAAAAGTGACCTCAAAGATCTCTACATTAATTCGGCTGTGTAAGAATGAATCATTGGGTTGCATTAATTGTAAAGTTATTTATGTATTTTTCCATCATATGTTGATATAAATTTGTTCACATGCAGCCAAGTTGATGTCTCTGGGAGCCGGAAAGCTATTGTTATCCATGTCCCCTACAGATTGAGGAAAGCTTTTCGCAAGGTTCATGTTAAGCTTGTGAGGGAACTTGAAAAGAAGTTCAGTGGCAAGGTGCGGAAAGGACTAAGCAATTCCGTTTTCAAATTTGTTCTTTCTTTATAATGAAACAATGAGGGGGAGGGCAGTTTGAATGAAAATTTGGATTAGGTCTTCTAGTTTACAATTTATTAAGTGCATTACCATTTAGTACAAAATTCATCAACTTTTTTAATTTTTATGCTTTGGCTAAGATTCTATCCTCGGTTGAATGCTTCTTTCCAGACTCTGATATGTAGCAGTTCTGCAAAAAATGACAATTAATCATTTTTTATTGTATTATTCATAAATTGATATGTCTCATTGAATCTTTTGCTTGATCGGGCTTTACTGTTGAACATAAATTTCTGTTTTGTACTTATAATGATGCTTATTAATTGGTTTGATTGATATGTACGAGTTCTTGGTTTTAAGTTTTAACTTAGTTTATGCATATATGATAGGATGTGATTCTTATTGCCACCCGGAGGATATTGAGGCCTCCGAAGAAAGGTTCTGCTGTTCAGAGGCCACGCAGCCGCACATTGACTGCTGTTCATGAGGCAATGCTAGAAGATATTGTTTTACCTGCTGAGATTGTCGGGAAGCGCACTAGATATAGACTTGATGGATCAAAGATAATGAAGGTACAACACTGTATTCATAGAATATAGAATTGAGTAAAATACGTGTGACTTGAGAAATTTTACTTATATTGGGTTCAATTAGGCTTTGTAAATAATGGTTTTTGTCATCATTCATAGATTGTAAATATGTTGAAGGTTAATGCTCATTCATTCTTGGCCACCTTTCTTGAGCAGGTCTTTTTGGACCCCAAGGAACGAAACAACACAGAGTATAAGCTCGATGCCTTTTCTGCAGTTTACCGGAAGCTTGCTGGAAAGGATGTTGTGTTTGAGTTCCCAGTCACAGAGGCATAGAGAAGTCCTTTTCAAGTATTGTGACACCTTTTGTCTGGTCTTTCTTCTTCTAAAACTGTTTTTCGTGGGGGCGTATTTAAAATTTTTGACATTTGAGTTTTCAAAACAAGCAGAGAAATGTCATGATGGATTTATTTTATGTACTATGACGTATTTTGTGTTGTGGTATGGCATTTAATGATGTAGGATTACAAGTTTTAAAAAAGGTTTTTTGGTTTAATTCTCGTTCCTTTTTTTTTTCTTATTATTATTGAAGTAAAGACGGTAGAATTAAACAAAAACTTAGAATGGACAACAGCATTAGATTAGGACGCGTGGATGGGAGGCTTTGGGCATTATTATTTCAGTTCAGACTGCGGTTCTAGAATTTTAATCCTACTAATTGTTAATCAAGTTGATGAGGGTTATGTATGGCTTGTTAAGATGATCTCGGGCTTATTCTTTTTTTAATCAAACTGATTTGAAAAAACAAATCTCTTTGCCCTATTTCTTCACTTTTGATCTCATTGGAGTTTGAATATCTCTTCTTGGCAATACAAAGTAGTTAACAATTAGGGAAAGAAAAGAAAAAAAGAATTATAGGTACATCACCTGACCAAAACTGAGGTGGCATTCAGAAAATGAACGAGACTGCAAACAGACGAGTGTCTGACGTTTCATACCCCATTTGAATTTGCCTAAGGCACCAGTGTGCTGCAAATTCTCTACTTTTTTCTGCTGTTTTTGCCGAGCTATTTAACGAGGGTAAAACCTTGTAATCATAGAAGAAAGAAGAATAAGAGATTGGTCTAAAAGAAAATAGCAGGGAATAAAAGCTTAAAAGCTAAAATGTTCAAGATGGATTAAAGATATTTGGATAGTGCCATTCATATTTGTGGAGAGTTTTGAGCTTAGGTTGCTGGAGGCCAGTCTTAGACTAGGGTTGATCTTATAGGCTTGACCTGGGCTAGTAGTTGACCACTCCTTCTGGACACGACAAATTAGCTTCCTGGGACTTTAGCTCGTACATTGCTAAAGTGGTCGAACTGACATAGACTTCGAGAATTCATGTTGGTATGACATGTCGACTCAACCAAAATAATCAAAATGCTGACTTATTAAAGGAGGAAAAGTCAAATTTACCTTTTTAACACTAAAATGCCCCTAACATTTTGTCTCTTCAATGAGTAGCTGAAGTGTTAGACTAACGAGGATAGGATTGATCGATCTGTCATTTTTCAGATTGAGCTGTTGGTTAAACGTAGGTTTCCTTTGGAGCTTCTATTTGTTGATTGTTTCGATCTCAGTTTGCTGAGGTAGTGAACGGGAAATACTGACGTGAATGAGATGGTAACATTATTTGGGTTCAAGGTGATGTAGTGGATGTGTATTGGTATGAGATGGCTGATGTCACACGCATAATACTTATAACATATTCGATATGTTATGTTGTTAATATCTGATGAGGTATTCACTCTAAAAAAAGTAATATTTAGTAATTCTATTTTGTAATGATTGAAAATATCGTTGCGATATATTGGTATATTTACAATAATATTTTATGATCATTGCTAAATTGAATTTTTTAATTTTTTATATAACAGTAAATTTTATCGTTATGAATTCATTTACTATTTATAATGACAACAAAAAATTGTTAAGAAAACTTGTTTTATTAATAACGATTTTTCAATGTCGTTGTTTAAATTATTTTGTTAATTTTTTATACAATGAGAAAAAAGTTATTATGAAAAATTTTAACATATTTATAACGACACAAAAAAAAAAAGTCATTGTGAAAACTTGTTTTATTTGTAACAATTTTCAAAGTTGTTGCTTAAGTTATTTTTTAATATTTTATACAATGATAAAAAAATTTGTTACGAAAAATTTTATAATTTTTGTAACGTCAACAAAAAATTGTTATGAAATTTTGTTTTTTCAAATTTATTGCTTAAGTTCTTTTTAAATATTTTATACAATGACAAAAATAGTTGTTACGAAAACTTTTATCATATATGTAATGATAAAAACTTATTGTGAAAATTTGTTTTATTTGTAACGATTTTTGAATGTTGCTATTTAATTTATTTTTGTAATATTTTATGAACGACAAAAAAATTGTTACAAAAATTTTTATCATATTTGTAACAACAACAAAAAGTTATTATGAAAATTTGTTTTATTTGTAACAATTTTTCAAAGTTATTGATTAAGTTATTTTTTAATATTTTATACAATGACAAAATTGTTATTATGAAAACTTTTATCATATATGTAACAATAAAAACTTATTATTGCAAAAACTTGTTTCATTTACAACAAATTTTCAATGTCGTCACTTAATTTATTTTTGTAATGTTTTATACAACAATAAAAAAATTATTACAAAAATTTTTATTATTGTGAATTCTTATTATATTCGTAACAACAAAAAAATTTGTTATGATATTTAGTTGTATTTCGAAACTTTATGATATTGTTACTTATTCAAATATTTAATATGTTATACAATGACAAATAATTTGTTGCAACAAATTAGATAAAATTTATATAAATTTTTAGCATTTTACATCGTTTAGTGTCAATAAGACGAATTCTATACATCTTTCTTATTAGATGCAAATGTCCAATCCCTCAAATATGTAGAATTATTTAGTAACTAATTATGGCTAGTATGAATCAAGCATCTCAAAAGCATCATAATCAAAATTATATCGAATGCTATGAAAGATATATATTTGCTGTATATATAATTCAAAAACTTGTCAAACTACCCATTAAGGCTAAGGTAAACATCTATTCTTTTAATATAGCTGTGACCATATATTTGCAGCCTTATATATACATACATATTATATATATATATATATATATATATATTTCTTTCTTTAGATATGCCCTTTACATAGCTAGAGAAAGTAATATATACACACACATATACATACATACATATATTATATACACATTTTAGTACTTCAAACTAATATCGTTAGTCAAATTATTGACATAGTATAAATATCCAATAAAATCATTACACTTGTCAAAAAAGTCCAACAATCATCACATCATTATTGCCACATTAAATTAGAAGAAAATTTCAAAATTAAAAAAAATTAAAAATTTTTAAAAAATCAATGTTACATCATCAATCTTAAATAAATATATAAAACACAAAACTTTTGGTAAATAAGGAAAATGTTTAATGTAGATGGCTTATAGTATTGGCATGTGGATGATTTTGAAAAATCATCATATGTCTTGTATTTTATTTTATTTGAATTATTTTTAAAAAATTAAATTAATTACATTAATTTTTTATTATTGTTTACTTTAAATCACTCTCAATTAAAATCATATTGAATGTAATAAAACTTTAATTGCCATCATCATACAATAATTTTGTGTTCATTTTCTAATTATAATATTCAACTCTAAAATTACATTTGTGTAAAAAAAAAAAAAATTCACTTTCCAACTTACTTCACCTTTTAAGCTATATATAAGTTTAATATATATATATATATATATATATATATATATTGAGTTTAAAATGATTAACAGATGATCAAATTAATTAAAATTAATTTTGGAATATATCAAATAAAATGAATTTTATTACCATTATTACACCAATTTCAAGAGCCTTATTTTTCCATTTCTCCAAAACAAGTTAAATACATAATTTGTTTGATTATTCTAATTATCAAACATAAATCTTATATAAATATATAAAAGCTAAAACTTTTGGTAAAAACAAAATTGTTCGATGTGAAAGGTCTATTATTTTGACATGTGGATGATTTTTAGCAATTGTCACGTGTTCTACATTAATTATATTTATTCACATTCATTTCCTTTTCAATTAACATGAATTGATTTGACTTCATATAAATTTTAAAATATTTTAATACATTAATTATATTTATTTTTCTTTAAATTTTTAATTGATTCATCTTTTATTTCTAACAAAATATCCTAAATTATAGATATAGTATTTTAAAAAACATAAACATGCTGAAATTTTTTTTTAAAATAAATCTATTATAATTGATTTCCATAAATTATGCCTAATTTAAATCTCAATTATCATAAACCTCCCTATCTCTTTTATTGTAAAAACAATTGTTTATAAATAGGGTATCTTGATATAGTCTAGCATTACTTACGAGACTATTCTCCAAATACATTAGCTTTAGATCAAACTAAAGCTATCATATTATTATTAATCTTTTTATATTTTCAATTTTCTCATATCATTTAATATATTGCAATATAATTGTTTATTGAATCTATCCAAAAATTTTATCAAATAATCATGTTTAGTTATTAGTTTTAATTTCTTAGCAATCATTTCTTTATTAAGAACTCTACTAAACTACATTAAAATAATCCACCCAAAAGTTATTATCACCATTAAACCGACAAATGATTAAAAGCCAATATGTATTGAATATATTTTGCAAATATTACGGTGGTTATGAACTTTCTTATATTTATTGTTTGTTAGGTTATGACCAAAATTCTTATATGACATTACAAAACCAAAATTGATACAGTTATAGAATAGTCAAGTAAGCAATTTAATTTGTTTAAAAAAAATAAAAAGAAGATATTGAAAATTAATTTACTTTCTAATTTTAATTCTGAAATTTCGATTTTAAGTATTTATATAAGGTAAATTGAATTGAATTGAATTGAATAGAAATAAATAAGGTAATAAAAATAAATATGTAAAAGAAAAAAAATTCAGTTTAGTAAAATTTTTTTATTAAATCACTAATTTGTTCACATCTATATAAAATGTAAGTAAATTAAAAATGTAAAAATAAATAAATAAAATTTATTATAAAAATATTTTAAAATTTAAATTAAATAAAATTAAAATAATTAAATGGAAGACACATAATAATTATTTAAAACCATCTATATGTCAAAAAATAGATAATCTACATTAGATTTTATATAAAATATAAATATAAAATCACATATCCTGTATTGGACGAGCTTAAAACTAGTTTAGATATTAATGTCATACTATCAATTTGATTAACGGCATTAATATGAAATATCAAATTTTATGACTTAATTGTGAATTTTATTTTTTAATACTAAATTGACAAAAATGGTATAACTGATTGCACTTAAATTTTAACTTTTCAATACTTATTTTTAGTGTAATTGTACTTATATTTCGGTTTGTTTCTTAAAATTTTTGGTAAAATT